TCGTCGCCAGACGGGGTGCGCAGGGGGTGGTCCCTCACCGCGGCCGCTATGCGCGCCGGTCGTCCTGGGCATAGCAGGCGTGGCACTTTCTCGACACCATAGATGGTGCGCAGGGGTTGGTCCCTCACCGCGGCCAGTATGCACGACGGTCGTCCAGGGCATAGCAAGCGTGGCGCTTTCTCGACGCCAAACGGGGTGCGCAGGGGGTGGTCCTTCACCGCGGCCGCTATGCGCGCCGGTCGTCCAGGTCACCGGGCTCGCAAAATGTGGCTGGCGCGGCGCTTTTCCTCTTCCACCTCTCCTCTTGAGTGGCGTCACCAACGGCATCGGCGGGGCAACGGCCACCAACATCATTCTCACATGCTTCACTTCAGCTATCATCACTCCAGCCATAATACAAGTATGTGGGGTTCCTCGGTGGCGTATTTTGTTTTGCGTTTCGCGTGTAAAAATATATAGCGGGAGACATCCAGCGTAAAGTGGAATGGTTTGGTTTTTTATGTGTATACATGTGTATATATACACCCCTATACGACCACCCGTCGGTTGATAAGGAGGTTCGGAGGGGGGGAGGAACCAACGTCTCACTCGATCGGTCTCACTATCGATCTTACTGTCGATTTCACTATCGGTCTCGTTCGATCGATCTCACAATCGATATCACTCGATCTATTTCGCCCGATCGATCTCACAATCGATATGACTATCGATCTCACAATCGATCTCACTATCGATTTCACCACGACCGATTTCGCAATCTATCTCACATTCGGTCTCACTATCGATACCACTCAAGATATTACAATCGATCTCGCAATCAACGTCATCATCATTTCCATCATCGACATCATCGTCGTCAACGTCATCATCATCATCATCTTTGCGATCCCATCATAATCATCACCTCACCACCATCATCATTAACACCATCATCACACCACCTTTATCATCATCATCGGGACACCAGAATCTTCACTATCAACATCAACATCATCATCATCACCGGGACCATCATCACCATCGGAGCACCACCACCATCATCATCATCATCATCATCATCGCATCATCATGAACAACATCGTCAACATCATCATCATCGGGACAATCATCATCTTCATCATCAACTTCATCAACATCAGCATCACCGGGTCACCACCATCATCGTTACCATCAGCATCACCAACATCATAATCACCATCGGGACACCGTTATCATCATCAACATCGGCATCGTCATCATCATCGGGCCACCATCATCATACTCATCATCACCTCATCATCGTCCTCATCATCAGCATCAACATCATCGAACACCATCATCGAACACCATCATCGTCATCATCACCATCAGCTTTATCATCAGTGGGACACCATCATCATCATCACCATCATCATCATCGGTAGCATCATCATCAACCTCACCGTTGTCATCGTGACACCATCATCATCATCATCTTCATCATCATCGTCATCTCATCATCCCACCATCATCAACATCCTCAGGATCATCAGCATCATCATCATCATCGGGACACCATCATCATCAGCAACATCAGCACTACCAACATCATCATCATCGGGACACCATCATCACCACCAGCATGGACCTCATCAACATCAGCATCATCACCATAGGGCTATCACCATCACCTCATCATTATCCTCATCATCATCGGGACACCATCATGTTCATCATCAACAACATCATCATCTTCGGGACACCATCTTCATCACCATGACCATCATCATCATCGACAGCATCCTCATCAACCTCCTCTTCATCGTTATTGGGACACCATCATTCTCATCTTCATCATCATCCTCACCATCTCATAATCCCATCATCACCAACATTATCGGGATCACCCACATCGTCATCATCATCGGGACACCATCATCAGCTGCAGCAACATCAACATCATCAACATCATCATCATCATCATCATCATCGGGTCACCATCATCATTACCACCATGGTCATCAGCATCACCATCATCAGCATCTTCACCATCATCGTCATCATCATCGGGTGTCCGACGGGACACCGGCGGGACACCGCGCGGCACCGGTTCCCAGAAGGGAGACTTTTGGTCCGGCCGCGCCTCAGCCAACGGCGGGACATTTTTCGCCCGCCCACGCAGCTTCGCCTCGCCCGCACGCATGGCACGCACGAACACCAAACCGAAACCGATCTCCCGGTAGGGGGGCTCTCCGTTCCACTTCGATCTCACCCCCTCACCTCCGATGGATATATATATATATACACCTACATCATATACATATATATACTCATATAGTTATATATAAAATGTACATACATAAATACACATAAATATATACACACACAACATATTTCCCACTTTGCGATGGATGCTTCCCGTCTTTTTTTTCAAGCACCAAACGCGGGGGGGAGGGGGGGGGAATCGTAAAGTGGGCGCGCCGTGGCACGCCACTTTACGCGAAGTGCGTTATGTGTATGAATTTATACATAAAGCCCGCACCCGCCCGATCGTTAAGTGGGTTTACCGGGGCAACCTAAGCTGCCCCCCGCGCGTGAAATTGCATGATGGAACCCGCCCCCAATCGGATCGTCAACGCGGTTCGTTGGACAACGCCTCAAAGGTCCCACTGGTTTCGTCACTCCCACAGGTCCCCCAAGCCTCACAGGTCCCACAGGTGCCACAGGCCCCAATGGTCTCGCATGTCCCACAGGTTTCGCAGGTCCCACAGGTCCCACAGGTCCCACAGGCGCCACAGGTCACACAGGCCCCACGGGTCGCAGAAGGTCCGCAGGTGTGTCGCAGGTCCTAACAAGGAGGGGCACAAGTCTCACACGTCCCACAGGGGCACAAGTCTCACACGTCCCACAGGGGCACAAGTCTCACACGTCCCACAGGACCCACAGTGCGCCACGCTAAAAGACGAGAGGGGGCCGCGCGGAAACCTGATACGTAGGCAGAATTACCCATCCCCGTGAAACAAATATAACAAAAGTGGCACAGGGATGGGAGCCGAAAACATTCTGAATCGGACCAGGCGGGGCCCGTCGCATCAAGTGGCATCCGCTTGCCAACGTTGCGGGAAAAAACAAAAACGTATCGTTTGCATTGCGCGTTGCATGTTAGCCATCCGATTCGGGGGAACGAAACCGCAAGGCAGAGTGTAGAACCGCCCGCACCAGCGGCCCTGTGAAGGATTAGCTTGGAAGAGCACCCGGGCATTAAGTGGCGTCCGCCTCCCAATGTTGCCACTGGGCGCGCAAGTCAAAGTATGGCGCATCAATGGCCTGGCCCATGGTGCACGCCTGAGCACGCTGCCAACATTGAAAGGCGAATATCACTCAATGATCCTCTTTGGGCGCTGCTGTCTGCAGATCATTCACGATGAACGTCTTGTCGATTGTGTCATAACTTGTTTCCCGGCTTTGTAAGGATCTCAAATCGAATGTTCCGCACATTTGCGAAAACACTGTTTTGTAACATCCGTTTTAAAAAGAAGGTTTGTGCGCGTTCTTGCAGATGTTTTAAGAAGCCGTAGGATTTTCAACATGCTCATCAACTTCGACCAAGCGGGCTTCTCGCGCGCGCATGCCACAAACATTCGCACGCCCTTGCGCGCGTGCTGTGTGTGTGTGCGGGGGGGGGGCACGATCCTTGACAAATAACACCATGCGGACCACTCGCGCGCGTCGGCCGCGCGCGCATGTCGATATCCCTCCAAAGCCTTCACCATCGAGGCGAAAACATAATCATCGTCATTGGCGTGGTCAGCATCGGCGCCGTCATTGGCCCTGCCGTCGTCATCGTTATTGGCGTCACCATCACCATTAGTATCATCATCGTGTGCACCGTTGTCGACATCGCCATGATGCCGCGCCCGTCCAAGGCACCAGCTCGCATTGAAGTGCCCGCGCGTCAGCACGGCCTGCGAGACGCGCTGGGAAGTGCCCAGCGGTCAAGGCCCCCGCGGCCGCGCCGGTCGCACCAAATTTGCTGGCCGCTGTGCGCGCATGCGCGGGCTTGCGCGGCCGCAGAGATGCACGTGCCAGCACCAAACACATCACAATCGCCGCCGCATGGGTTGTGCGAGCCAGGCTGCGGGTGAGTGGGTGGGATGATTGCGAGAGCTATGAAGTTGACAAACACCATTGAATGCATTTCACATCATGTGTTTTCCAGTTGCGCGTGCATCGTGCAAGTGTTCATCGCTTGGCCATCGCTGGCAACACACATCGCTAGACCACCAGGCCATCATTGACATCTTGGGCCACGGGGTAAGCACAACTGCGATGAGTTACAAGTGCGCGCGAGTCGAAATGGATGATGCGTGGTCGTAGCTGTGCGCTGGTACGCCCCATCCCCGAAGCAAGTCAGCTTTCGCGGGCCAAGCAATTGGGGCGCGTGTCTCCCCCCACCGTGGATTAGGTTTTCGCGCGCGAACTCGTTCCCGATGCTCTTGCAGGGCACGCCTGCTTTTTCCATCCTTCATCCCTCCCTCACTCGTTCTGTTTCTATCGTTTTTCATTTAGTGGTCTTCGGCCCATCCCGCCCGCCACCATGTTTGGGTCGTAGATCGGAGGCCTCTTGGAGACTTGTTAGGGGCCGCGTGGGGCCTCTTGGAGGCCTCTGGGGGCCTACTGGGAGCCTCTTGGGACCCTGCTGGCGGTCTCGGGGGCCAGCTTGGGGAATGTCAGTTCGTGTTCCCTCTCATGTGCCCCTTTGGACGATGTCTGGAAAGTTTCCTGTGCCATGCTGGGAGCCTCGTCGGCAGTCTTGGGGCGATGGTGGGGGTTTGGTTAGCAGTGCTGTGCGCTCTCTAGATTGAGAATCGGGGATTGCTTACGTCCGACAGATTTTTCTTGGGCCCGACTCCGAGATGGTCCAAAAAGCGCCGAAACGATTTGCAGGACGGCCTTTTGGGGCCTTCTCCAGAGACTAAGGGAAGTCACGCGAGAGCCCCCCCGAAGCGCCTAAAGGCGCCCACGAGCGCCCGACTATTCAGATAATCTAGCGCCTGCAGTCTCTCAACGACATCGAAGGGACCTGAAGACGCGCCACACAGAGCTTGGCGGCACGGTGACGGGTTACAGGTGAATTCGCATCGATAGTTGAACCTATAGCAGGCCGATTACATATAAGTTACGGATCAGCACGACTAGTGCTCCCTCTGCCCCTTTGTCTAGCATTCTCTTCGCCATTGGGGTTCACCTCCCGAGTGTGATATCGCTGGCCGTTGGGCCTCTCGCGATACACGGCGCGGCGCCCTCAGCCAAGTTATAAGCTTTCTCCAGTTCGTGGGTCGCAGCACCTGCAAGGCCCACAGTAGGTTGGTTTGGTCCGAGTTGGCCACATGGCGTGCTTCTTTTGTTTCACTTTGTTGAGCGCTGCATTTCAGTGGGACATAGTGAGACGCGCTGGTCTCCATCATTATTGAAAAGAGCAGCCGCTTTTCTGTGTTCGCGGCGAGTCGTCACCTGCCCCAGTGGTGCTCGTCCTCCCTCCTCCCCAGACCGTTGACGTCGTGCTTCGTTGACGCCGAGGGCCCCTACAGAGCTCTCGACCCCATCCCCGGAACCAGGTTTTCGCTGCCTGTCGCTGCTTGACCGCCGTGTTGTTTGGCGGCGTCTGGACGCATGTGTTCGTCATCTCTGCCATTCCAGATGCCACCCCTTGCCCGGATGTCGGGAGGGCGCGCGCGGCAAGGTGTCCAGGCTGCTCTCGCAGAGCGCGGACTGCCTGAAGTGGAACGCCGCCCTGTCACTCTATGGCCCGCGCTCCTGCCCTCCCCGCGCCGCGAGCTGCCGATTGTCGCAAGCATCCGCCGGAGCAAGCATCCCCCACGTGACCCGGGCTGCTCTCCCTGGCCCGCCCCTGACCAGCCCACTCCTGTCCAAGTTCTGTTCGCTAGCTCCAACGGGTACGCACCAGAGGCCCGAGGGTCCCGCACCCCTCCATTGCGCTGTTTCTCCGGTGGCTGGCTGCACGTCTCGCGTGCTCCCGTTGGACCCGTGGAGGGCAGATGCTCTCACTGCGGTTTCCGGCATCACGTGTCGGGGGAGCATCTCTCGAGGAAGAGGGATGAGCGGTAAGAGGGGGAGAGAGGCAGTTGGAGAAAGAGGAGCCACTGTAAGGCAGGAGGAGGAAACCCAGAGATGAGGAGAAGGATGCCGACGAGGCAGGAGAAAAGGAAGGTGAGGAAAGAGGAGCTCCACATCACGTGTCCCCTTCGTGACGCTACTCCTCCACCTCCTCCCTCCCCCTTCACGTCCCCGCTCGAGTCCCGCTCTGGCTTGGCCTCCGCGCGCGCCGCACGCGAATCGGGCCGCGCGTGCTCCCCGAATCTCAGCAAACCCTCAGACCTCTCTGGACACGCGGTCTGGCCAGGATCTCGTGGTGCAGCCAGTCGTCGTGACGACGAGGCCCCCGCCCGTTCATAGAGGAGAGGAGGAGGAGGAGGAGGAGGAGGAGGAGGAGGAGGAGGAGGAGGACGACGACGAGGAGGGCGAGGACCAGCAGGAGCTCCTGGTAATCTAACGCTGACCCTGCCTGCCGGCAACTACTGTTCCCCCACAGCCCTCGGCGTGGACCTCTCCGCCGTGTGCCACGACGGGTTCGAGGCCGGGCTGGCGAGGTGGCGCAAGCGCAAGGAGCAGGCCCCCAGCGCGCGCCGCCGTTGCCGCTCCCCTGGCAGACTCCAGACTAGGTCGGCTCGGATGCCACGTTCAGCCGTGCTTCTGGGTGCCTTTTGAGGGCCTCCAGAGGCGTCTTGGGGGCCTCTTAGGGGCATCTTGGAGGGGGGCCTCGAGAGCCTCTGGGGTCCTCTTGGGGACATCTTGGGGTCGAAGGCTCGAAGTGTCCGTTCGTGCTCCCCCTCTTAGGTCCCTCTTTGCAAGGGCGCTTTCGAGGGCGCGAAGTTATTCGCGCTTCGCGATTCGGCTCCGATTCCTCCTCGTCCTCTTCTTCTCCCCTGCGGGGGCGTCGCGAGAGCGCGAAATTATTCGCGCGTCGCGCTTTGCGCGGCGCGAAGCGCGACGTCAGGCGCCCTTGGTGAGGATTGCCCTTGTCCAGCCTGACCTGTGGTGCGGGCTCACGCTGGCTGGCGGCGGCAGTAAGGGGGCGGACAGCCCGCAGGGGGAGAGCAACACCTGGGTAGTTCCAGGGGCTCCGATCACCCGTGTATACGACGAGGCTCCCCAGCGAACACAACACAGTCAACCCGAATAAGAAGGATGCGTGGTAAGGATGCAAGGGCCTTGGAGGGCAATGTTGACGTTTCTCGAAAGAGGCTGGCCAGCGATAGCGGCCAAGGACGAACCGACGGGGAAGGATGCACGGGTAACCGTGGAAAGTCGCTCATCCTCAATATGCGGGTTGACTGTACCTGCAGCACCCGCCCCTGGGCTGGTTCATTCTTCCATGCCTCCGCCGAACTGGGGGTCCTCGCCGCCTGGATTTGCCCCTTTAGAGCCGCGCACGCGAGGTCGCTCGTGCTCTGGATCCCTCCTACGCGTTGCCCACACATCCAGACGTCGAGGGGGGCTGGAGCAGTGACGAGAGGAGGTCCGACCACTACGAAGTCGATGTTGCAAGGCAGTAGGCTTGAGGGTTGAGGAGAAGAAGCATGAACGCGGAGGGCGGGTCGGCGGAAGAGGGGGAGGCGGAGGAGGTCGAGGATGAGAAGGAGAACGTGGAGGAGGAGGAGGAGGAGGAGGAGGTGGAGGACGATGGCGAACGTGAGGAATGAGGAAGGAATAAGGATGAGGAGGAGGAGGAGGAGGAGGAGGAGGAGAGTGAAGAGGAACGGGATGGCGGGGGAGGGGGTAGCAGGAGGAGCTCAGGGCGGGTCAGGAGGACGAGGAGCATTTGCACAAGTATGAAGCATGCTCATGGGCTTGGACAGAATTAGGAGCAGGTTGACCAGGCGGGCGGAGACGGAGGCGGAGCACGTCGTGATGTGGCGAGGGGGGAGCAGTGTTCATAGTGAGTAGCTGCAGGGCGGCAGGCGCCGAGGCGAGAGCGCCCCTCGGAGCGGCCGAAGGCGTCGCGAGCTGAGAAGCGGATGTAGGAGGCAAAAGGAGGCGGGTGCATTTGCACATCCCGTGGTCCCGACAGGCGAAGCGCACATACACACGGGGGGGCGGGTAAATGAGAGCATGGCGTTGGCATATCGAGGGCAGTAGCACTGCAGTTGCAGAGAAAGGGGGGAGGAGAGAGAGAGAGAGAGAGAGAGAACACACAAACGAGCGAGAGAGAGAGAGAGAGAGCGCGAGAGAGAGAGAGAGCGCGAGCGAGAGAGAGGGAGTGTGTGCGTGTGCGATGGGAGAGGGAGAGCGAGAGAGAGAGAGAGAGACAGATAAGCACGCGATGTAGAAACACTTAGCTCTATATCTTCTCATGCGCACTCCTCCCAGAGAGTAGGGCTCAGAAGCGACTATTGTGTCGGCCACGAGTTGCCTGGGCGTTTCGCTCGGCATCCTCCATATTTTGAAACTTGGACGCGCCCCTCAGGCAGATCGCGACGTCACGGTCCAAACACCCACGGGATCTCGACCATGTTAGTCGAATTCTTTGAAGCACACAATGGTCACTAGTGCACTTTGACATAATTGATCGCTAAAGTTTCGCTCAGTAATGACGTCCTGTGTAGTCCTCCAGCGTCCGACGTTAAACTTTGAAAGCGCTGTGACATCCAATGGCTGCGCACCTAAACGTTAGGCACAGCAGTGATTTGTCTATGTCTTCCAGCCTGGTTCTTCAACGCTTCCCTAACCTTTGTTGTTCGCGATGCCCAAACTGGGTTCGTCTCGAGTCTCAACATGTCGGCCAACATCGCAAGCTACAGCAACCCTATCGGTGAGCCAGCCTTACCTTTCTAAGCCTGGACATGCACGTGCCACTCGTGTACCTAGTATTGCAGTGTGAGAGGTACGGAGAAAGCAAACACCATAAACATTGTGTATGTTACACAGTCAAGACGCTGGCATCGGGAACCGTGTAGGTTCGGAAGGAGCTCGATGCTCCTTTGTTCCTTCCATGGCTGCTTCTCTAGCGCCCCTCGTCCACGCAGGCGCTTCTGGGGCCAAAGAGGGGGCTTCGGTCCTTGTCGAGCGCTTCTTGTGGCAGCAGCTTGACTGTATGTATGCTTCCCGTCTCCCATACGAACATGGCGGGGATGCCCCTCCACCCGTGGACTTCGCCACGGCCACTGCACCTCTCGGACGCCGAAAGTAGCCTCCCAAGCCGCCAAGTCTGGAGCTTCCGTGCAGCAGGTGCGCTTCGTGTCGGCCAGCGGCGTTCCTGCCGCGGGCGTTCAACGTTGAACGCCGCCCGCGACCCAGAATCAGAAGATACTGAACGATCTGAATGTTCGGAAACGGCCGATCGTTCAAGATTGAGCGATCCCCACGGTGTGAGGAACCAACGCCGGGGTCGACACGACACGAGCATGCCGTATATCCTCGACTCTTCGGCCCAGGGTTTCAACTGGGCTAGAGGCGGTCAGCAAGTTGCCCGCGATGCGCAGGTGGGCCCAAAAACGGTTCACGACGGCCTCGGGGGAGTCTTAAGACAGCCTGCGACGGGTCGAAGACTGCCTTGCCGGCACAAGAAATTGCCCTACAGGACTTTCAAGAGGGCCCTTCGAAGCCCAAATCATATATTGTTTTTCAATGTTTGAAAGACTTTGGGTTTTTTGCCTTGCCGGGCCACGACCTGCCCTGGGCGGCATTGAAATTTTCCGAGACCGCCCCATGTCTACCCAGGAGGCTCCCAACAAATTTCCAGACGGCCCATGAAAACCAAACAACAGCTTAAGAGCACCCCATGACGGCCCAAGAAAGGCCCAACAGGCCCCCAAAAAAGTTCCAGCAGAAGGCCAGCAGGACCCCAAGAGGGCCGGCCCAAGATCGCCCGACGAGGGCCCCAAGACGGTCCAAAACCTCCAGCATGGCACCAAGACGGCTCGAGAGAACCCCACGACAGCTCAACAGGGCCCCGAAATGGCCCACGACGTCGACGACAACCAAAAACGACCGACAACGACGAGCACCGCCCGACCAACCGACCAATCGACTGACCGAATCGCCGAGTCGCCGGCCGACCGACGACAACGATCGATTGATCGACCACCCCTCCGACCGACGACAACGACGACCGACCGACCGGCTGGCCGACAGACTGACCAACCCACGACGACGACCGGCTGCCTGGCGGACCGACGACGACCCACGCCTGACGACGACCGACCAGCCGACCGACCGACCGTCCGCGACCATCCGAGGCAAGATTCGATAAGACATTGGCAGTGTAATTTGTACACAGATAGAAATTATGTATGTATGTATGTTGGCCAGCGTGGACCTCAAGAAGTGTTCTTCCAGCACTTAATACTGCGCACTCTATCTGGAGCTATATAAGCTGTACAATCTACGTGTGGCAAGCTA